CTTTCCCTTCAAAGCTTTGCCAGGTAGTTGAAGATCTAGTATGTCTATACTCCAGCACCTGTGGAGGGCAGAGTAGTAGCCAAATGGCTCAGCACCCGAACGGGAAATATATGACGGTGAACCTTTTCTTTTAAACAAACCCTTTATTTATACAAGAAGTGCCATATGATTTCCGCTCCACATGAAGCCTGAATTTTAAAGTCTCATCCACAAGATCCTCACAAAGTAAACTGTGTGGTAGTTTAATTTATTGATAGTGCTGTGGTATGATGAAGGCCTGTCTGCTCTGGGAGAACTCAGAGCTAAGGCTCCAGGAAGTCTAGATATTTCAATCCTAAACCTAGGCCACTAAACCATTCCTCCTGGTTTAAAGTAAACTTCTATGTATTGGCTAAAAGCCAGTCACTCCCACTCCATCATTTAGGGGAAAATGAGTACATCCTGTTATTAAACTTACACATGTCAGCATGTGTTGAGGTAAGAGCTCTGTAGTTAATGTTCCCCAGTTTCTGCAACACACATACAAGCCAGTAAGAGAAAAAAATAATATGCTTTGAACTCTTTTCCAGACAACTCTCTTGATCCCTTTAAAACCCGCATCAGAGCAAAACTGAGCCTCACTCTGCATCCAAACCAGAGTAAAGAAAAGATCTGATTAAGGACTTCAGCCTAAAACCAGTGGAGCTTGAGATATGACCCAGATAAATATATTTACTATAATTATTAGAAGTAGACTAGTTCTGTTGAATTTTTTAGCTTGTAAAAAAGCGATACTTAGGCTGTAGGTTATCACTTAGGCACATGGGGCATAATCTTGAACATTTTAAAATAAATTATGCATGCTTCACTAAACCCTGTGTCTACACATTCATTAATGCACCGTTGTTATTGTACATTACGATTAGCACTTGCCTAACCAAGTAAATCAATGTGCGGTAACTGGTGCTACTGATGCTAACTGCACAGTAATCTAATACTACTGCACAGTAGTGTATTAGCACAGGTTTTACCCTGCATGCTACTGTGCAGCGTTATTAGGCTACTGCACAGTTAGCATCTCATGTAGATGCATCTCCTGTCTGTTTGATCTCATTGCACTTGGAAGGCAGGTGTGTCAAGTTCAGGATGCCAGCAGTCTTTTTATATTTTGTTATATTGGCATTTCATCAGCTCTGATTTTTAATCTGGGCATGAAACATAGAAAAACATGTTACCCTGTCCATTCACAGGAGGGATTTTTTAATTCTTGCAGTGTCTGATCCTGCAAGATACTGACCTCCCTTTACTTCCACTGAAGCACAGTATATGAAGTTGGGTCCTTATAGGATCATGTATGTTCTCATTGTAATTGACTAAATTAAGGCATGTTATCAATGGACACAGTTTTTGATTGTGTTTCAAGCCTGAGTTACATTGTTAACAGTCATTCAAACAGCTCTACTAACTACAATGCAGAGTACGTGCTCATCCACTTGAGTAAAAGTTGTACAATCTATGGAACAGTATTTTACTTGGTGAATAGTCCCATTGATTTCACAGGGTTTATTTAGAGTAAATGACGTGAGTAGAGAAAGGAGACTCTGGTGGTGTTTATGATGTACACAATTTATGGGTATGGACAGATGAACAAATTATACCAGATTAAAAGTGGATGGGAGGTTACTAGGTGTCTGTTGTTTCCTGGTAACTGTTCCACATGTCTACTTCTATCCTGCAGTAAAGCTAATCTAAGATGACATACCTCTAGATCAAGGGTATCAAACTCATCTGGCCTTGGGGATCAGATGAGGCATGCAGGGCTGGTCCATGGGCCGAACTGGGCCCACAGACTGTCCCTGAATGTCAGAGCCAGCACATGTCCTGGACCATCCCCACATGCTGCATGCAGTATGAGCACTGGATGCAGCATGTGCTGGCCCCATCCCCATAACTTTGTCACCTGTGCCATAAATGAAATAGAACAAGCTACAGTAGAAGAGTAGTGGATACGTAAAGCAGTTACAGGCAGAGATAAGTTCCCCTGCCTTTTAACTAAGTATTATTTGTCCATCTGCCCATACCCTAGTTGAGAACACATTTAGAATGTATTTTATAAGCAAGTATATTTGTCAGCAAGATTTTGAGCAGAGTGGGATATGTGCTATAACAGTAATAACACACGGTGTCCCAGTAGTTGTTCTCAATCCCATTTCTTGCTTCACAGGTTACAGATTGCTAGATGGAATTACTTAAACCACTTGCTACATAACTAGCTGCAGGAAGTGAAAATTCATGTGAAACACTATTTTATATGTTTTACATGCTTTTACTTAGTGTCAGATGTATTGTACAAATAGCATCCTGAGAACAGTGCTGAAGTAGTTCTTTTGTGTGTGCCTTCAGAACTATGAAGATACAAAGTTTTTTCAAGGTATGTTTTAGAATAAAAGGGGGGAAAAATGCCAGAGGAGGGAAAGTTTGAAAGATATAGGGGAAGGTAGGAAAGGAGAAGGGAATTACACCGAAGGGGAAAAAGTTATGGATTAAAAGTAGATCCAAATCTTGCAAATCTTGGAGCTGGAAATAAGAGAAAATATGGACATTTTCATTTAATTTTTAACAAAACCAACATATTATATAAAAAAATTGAACATGTAAAGATGCATCCAATCCCCTCAAATATCCATGGAGACAAATATTTAACTTCCATCAACACTGCTCCTTAACCCAAGTCAGTGTCTATATAGGCTTGTATTTTCTTCTTTTTCTTTCACTCTCAGACAATTCCTTTGTGTTTCAGTAGATGTATTTAATGTTTTAATTATGCTGCATGTGTATTGATTTCTGTTTTAAAAAACTAAAATGCTCAAAAGAAATTCCTAAATTAATTCTAACTGAGAAGATGAGTGATGAGAATAGTCTGTAAAGTATTTCCATGCAAATTATGCTAAAATAATATTTAAGGATCAGCTGGATTTATGCAAAGAATAGAGTATATTATTCCACTTTTGGGAAAGTTAAAACTTAGGTGGTCAGAGAAACTGGACTTTTCAAAGCTCTTTTAAGATATATATACATATAACTTCCATAAGCAGCTACATTCCTTTAATTCTCAGTCATGGGTGCCTGAGGCCTTGATAATGCAAAGAGTAAGTGATGATGGATCTGAATGCCTACATCTCATGCCATTCATTTCACTGTCTACAGAAAAAAATGTCTAGAGCAGCAAAGTTGAGCAATTTATGGTGTTGATAAAAAATGTGAAATGGTGGAACATTATCCTTTCAGCAGCTTTATAAAGAACGGTGACATTGCATGAATAAATCTTTTTAATAGAAGTAAATAAGCATTTATTTATCATTTTTCCCATACAAGAAAAATAACTACCATACTTAAAGGACAAGTCAACTGAAAAAATCCCTCTTCTATTAGAGTGTTTTAATTACTGCATTACAAGCAATACCTACAATGACCATGCACAACAGAGCTTTGTGTAGCAAACAATGAGATAAGGCATTTTAATCCTAGGAAAATAAAACGTAGATGAGAAAAGGTGGCAGACCTGAAACTTGTTTCTTAACTCCTTTTTTTTTCCGAAACTCCATACTTTGAATCAACCTTGTCCTCTTAAACTGTCTGATTTTTGCAGGATTCTGTATGTATGCACTGCTTAACAAACACTAGATTGTACTTTGTTTCACTTCTGTAATCCTGGTGTGAAATGTTAGCTTTTAATAGGCTTCTTCTCTGTGCATGGGATTGGATGGTCTTTCAGTGATTGCATGAACATTTCTAAAAATAAACACACCATTTGTATTTAATTATATTTTGTCAAGGCATAAAAGAAATTGTTGTTTCAAATCCTACTAATATTTATAGTGTGAATTCTGATATTTCCTCAAGCCTAAATTCTCTGCCCTAGAATTCAATTTCCTTGTTGGAGTCAAGCTATTGTTTTTGATTTAGACTGTTTTGTGGGTGGAGTGTTTAATGACGTTGGGTCTAAAAAGAATTTATTTAAAGAGCCATTATCATATTAAAAATTATAGATGAAATCCTGACCCTAAGGAAGTCAAGTGACTTCTTGATAGGACCAGCTTTCCATCCTGTGCATTTCTAACCAGCTTTTTACTTTTTTTACGATAGCAAATGCAATCTGACTTTATGATAATTTTTCTCTATGATTATTTTCTAGATATGTGCGCGTGCATGTGTGTGTGTACACATATAGTGCTTGCAGTTGGAGAAGTACTGGTTTGGGGTTGGTAGAATGTGTGTTGCTGTGTGACTGTAGTAGGGGAATATTGGGTGGTACTCTGGAGACTGCAAGATGGGATATGGGGAGTACAGTTAATGAGAGAGGTTTGGGGGTTGGTGTTG